TGTACACGCTTTTTAAATTTCATGTGGAAACCTTGATCTTTAACTCGAGCACCTGTCCAATAATTATGGAAACCTTGATCTTTAACTCAAACACCTCTCCAATAATTACTTTGTTATTACCATGCTAATTTATTGTCCTTAGGATAATCTATGGCGATGTTACTCTGTAATTTACCTCGCCTAACATTGCTTATAACATTTATGAAATCTTGAATTAGACATTTTTGAAAATTGAACTTCTTGTACAAAACCTATGTGTCGAAGACTAACTCGTTAATAAATCCTAGCTGTATGAAACAATCGACCAAGTCGGGATGTCAACCGCCAGTTCCAAGCACAGCTACAGATGGCCGCCAGTTGATCAATAGCAGATAAAGTAGAACAAAAACTGACAAAAACAATTTGATAACAAGACAAGAGAGTCGATCGAAAAGAGCAGGTACAGTTGAGTAATAACTGACCCAAACCAGCTAGATAATCAGAATAAAGAGTGGTCCAAAAACGACCAATAACAGTCGAAAACCAGCTTTATGTTAAAAAAAAGGGAGTCGACCCAAAATGGATCAATAGTAGGCAGCCAACAAACAACTATTGTAAAACTAGCTCAAAGTCAGCCAACAACCAATTATTGTTTGTTTTTTTAGCACAGTTACACAATAGGTTATCTGTGCTCTGTCCACCACGGGGAATCGAACCCTGGATTTTGGTGTTGTAAGTCTTTAAATTACGGTTGGTCGTGCTCCGGAACCGAAGCAGAGCTGGGAATGTTGGAGTCGAAGTCCAGCTCACCAGAGAGTTCTAGAGCCGGGGTTGAGAATTCTGAGCAATTCCACTTTTTCCTAACCCCCCCCCCACACACACATGTACATTTTGATATATTTTTGTTATAAGTTGAATTAACAAAATAAATAACTTGAAAAGAATAATATACTTTTGTGTACTTAACCTTAGTTAGGAGAAAAGCGGTATTTCATTCTTCAATATTTATACTCTTATTGTTTCCTGTTTAGATCATTCATTACTTAAAAACCTGTTCATATATTACCGTTAAATGTTGATTTTATAGAAAAGGGTTGCTGAAACCAGTGTAAAAATATATATAAAACTATAAGATCGGATTTTACATTCTTCACCCCTTTTATCAAAAATCAATTTCACCCTATAGACTGTTTTAATTCTAAACAAGAGCATTTAGACATTGAATACCCTCGCCCTACCTCTCCTTATCGAGATTGCATGCGTTTATATTGGATAACGTAAAATTTCACCTTCGAAAACTCAGAAAATCCTTCTCAGATCCAGAATCATCAACGATCCTGATCATTTTTTGTAGTGATGAAGAAGAGTCTCAACCTTAATATGCCCATGAAATATGGTACAAATTCGGTCACACTTTACAGAGCTATTAACCGAAAACCGCGAAAATGTCCTATCTCCCTATTATAAAAAAAAATGCTTCAAAGTGATCCAGACCATATTTGGGGAGGACTGTCCCATACTGAATTCGCATCTTGTATAAAATTATCGTGTACATCGGTCTATCAGTTTTCGAGATACACGCGGACCCGAGTACAAATACTCTCAAACCATAAATAGTACTAACTTAGTTAGCCATTGAGTTCTGTTATTCTGGAGCTGTGATCAACTAAAGACAACCGGAGCCAGCAAACCCTGAGCATTGTCAACTCTACCGTAAACATACCGCTGACCCACCGAGTTCACTAAGCTCAGAGGTCAACTACTGGGCAAGTACGGTAATACGAATGACCGAAATACAGCTAGTTGAGCAACATAAATATTTAATATTTTGTATTAGTGGAAAAAAACCTGGGTTTTCAATGCTAGGCCTCGCACGAACGTATTACTAATTCACTCTTGTTACTTGTATTTATTATCAAAATGATTTGCAATTTTTACATGTCGTTGCCAGAACTTCTGGTGTTTAGTTATACGAACTCTGAAGAAGTGGCATCACGTGTAATTTAAGAAATAGCTTTGTCCAACATACGACAAATAGTAAAGTACAAATTGATAGGTCTAAACACGAGTTCACTGTACGTGTTGTCACTATCTATAAGTTTGTATTAATTTAAATTAAAGTTACATACTTTAATTCCATGCAATGGTGAACTTTAAAGAAAAATCAATGTTTATAACAGTAAAATGACAGATCTTTACTCCATATTAGACTGACTGACTGACACACCCACTTCAGGGAGGGTGTCTTTTAAGGATGACAACGTGACGAAGCTACTTTAATATACTACGCATGCACTGCAAAAGATTGCGTGACGAGGTTGAAAAGCAGGAGGCGAAATTTTTCCACATTAAAAAATTATAACGTTTAATTACGTAAAATATTCATTATGCACTGGCTTTACGCGGTTATTCTTAAGAGTAAATGCTCATAATATAAACTAGCTCTAGACAATTCGTAGCTACGAGCGTACAATTCTGTTAGACATCTCACCATTGAGTTCGTGAACGAAAGTGTTTGGCGTATTTTCGCGGCCAGCTGACCAGAGTAGAACCACAAGTGTTTTCTTCTACAAAGGGGAAGCCTAAATTTACAAACGGCACTTTGCCAAGCATGTGTTCAAGTGTTCTTGCACTTTGTTAATGAAGAACAATGTTGTGTTTTTTACTTTGTATACACTATGAAAGGGTTAAATGAAAATAATCAGTGTTAAAAGTAAAATTAGAATTAGCACAAAACACATTTTATTTAAAGTTAAAGTGAAAACTGGTCGAAAAAAATAGTCATGGAAAATACTAATACTTTAAATAGTGTTATCCTAATTTCAAGCAGACATGGAAAAAAAGGCCAGTACGATATTACATAGAATCTTTAATAATTGTAGGTATAACTAAAGAACGGTGTGTTTGTATTGTATTGACATTTTAATCTTAACATCAAACAATCATGAAATAGGATTGTAAAGATGACAAGCGTTCGGTTGATTTGCATGTGCTCCCCGTATAGTGCTAGGAATATACAACAAAGATCAAAACATTGAAAAAGAACAACAAGGAACCTTACCTACAAAGAATGCGTTAATCTGAACATTGACAGAAACTTGTTGGAGCTCTTAATAAAGAAGAATTAGAATAAAAAAGCAGGATTATGTGTCAGACACTAAGGCTCGCTGATTTTGACCATTTTTACAATTAAACGTCTGTTTATAGGCATAATGTCAATAAAACTTCAATGAAATCAATTTCATTGTTTCGCATCATAAACATCATAAGTTTCTATTCTGTTTATTCGGATATATGTGCCCATTATAAAGGATCAAATATGCCTATCTCAGTAGGTTATTTTAATA